CCTCCCCTCCCCTCCCCCGCCGCCAACAATTTACCAATCGCCCTCTTCCGACCGGGGAGAGAGGCGATAACAGGATAGGAAAGAAGCAGGAACGATCCTCTTGCGAGATTCAAGAGTAGCTCCCGCAGTGCCACCCGCAGAGTTTCTAATACATAGCTCTATGGCGAAAGGAAGGAAATGAAATCACTTCCGCCGGTATCTTTAATATACTTTTTTTTTAACCGAAAACAGTACGAAACTTCAAGCGAGATGAGCGGGACCGGTTGCTTGTACCCAAAGTAACCCTACCTATTATGTTCACCGGGGCGGGCCTTCGCCGCTAAATGCAAGGCTAACAGAAACGTATGTGCGAGTGGCTAATTGGAAATCTTCAGATTTTCATTCATGAAAACTGTAAGTAATTTGTACCACCATTGACCCACAGGGTTTTTCCTACCCGCCCCCTCTGTTGCAGAGGAGGACTCTAAAGAACAGCTTGGAGAACGGGACAAAAGTACAAAAGTTACCAGCACGGAAAGGCTTCCCCAAATCTAGGTTGGGGATGTAATCCAGGGCTCTTGTCCTACAACAAATGCCCTAATCCCCAATCATCACAGCTATGCTTGTCTGAAGAGGAGGAGAATAGTAGATCTGTGTATCAGGAGATGTTGTTGTTGTTATGTTGGAAGGGATAATATGACAGTATGCAAGGACATTAACTACCATAGGCTTTGATAATTAAGGCTGCAAGCCTATGCATGTTTACATAGAAGTAAAATCATATTCAGTTGCTAGTGATTGTGAGAAAAATAACTATAAAACTGCAGTTTTAATCTGTGTTGTTTCAAACATATTCTACCACCTTCATGAAATACAATTTGCTGAAAAGATCAGTACTATCAAAAACTGTATCTGAATAAAAATTCCTACACACTTGCTTTGCTTCATCTGATTTACTTTCCAAACAATTCATCTCTTCTTTTTCTCCTTGTATTAGTTCTGAGCGAGACCTTTTCGCAATATGGATGCAGGAACCACAAGAGCAACATCTGAGGCACTCTTCTCCTTTGGAATCATAGCAGATATTCAGTATGCTGATATAGAGGATGGCTATGATTTCCTTGGAATCCATAGGAGATACTATAAGCACAGCCTATGCTGCCTCCAGAATGCAATTGAAGATTGGAATGGAACTGGGGTTCAGTTTGTAATACAGCTCGGGGACATCATTGATGGCTTCAATGCCCAACATAAGACATCAGAGAAAGCACTACAAGAAGTTATGAAGGAATTTAAGAAGCTCAGTGCACCAGTTCATCACATATGGGGCAATCATGAGTTGTATAATTTCAGCCGGAACTACCTGATGCAATCTGAACTGAATACCAAATACTTAGAAGACCAAACTTTGCTTAATAATTCTACCAGAGACCAGAGTTCTACAGGAAACCCAACTACAGAATTCTATTATGCTTACCAATTTTCTCCAATGCCTAAATTTCGATTCATTCTTCTTGATGCATATGACTTAAGTATTCTGGGGAGGGAAACATCAACAAAAAAATATAAAGAATCTCTACAGCTGCTACAAGAAAAAAATCAGAATGAAAATCTGAATAGTCCAATAGGTAGTGTATTGTGCTGAACGTAATTGTTGCATGTTTTTAGAATCATGATCTGGGAAAGATCTGGTTTTGTATAGATAAAAGAACTTGTCATTGATGAATATGAAGATGTCTTCATATATTCTGCTTTAGGGGACTACTTGTGTTGAGTTTGTCATACCAAAAATAAAAAGGTTATATGATAATCTTAACACCAACACATTTATTGTAGGGTCATAAGTGGACTTTTCTCAGCTTGTGTTTATAGGAACACAAGTATATGGCAAGGATACCACCCCATGGAATGTTCATTTCAGAATGCCAACTTTTTCACACAAAAAGTTCTACTGAATTAAGCTAGGCAGTAGAGCTACCTATCAAGGCATTTATGTAATCTCTAAATTAGGAAAGGTGAAATGAAAGAGCTGTTATCTACTGTCTACAAACACTGATGTGTTCTGTATAACTGCTGCAATATTAATATTAGAATCTCTGCAATTATTAAATGATAAGAATAATTTATTAAATTTTTATGCTACCCAACTGAAATATCAATATTGAAACACTGACAAAATTCCTACCTCCAGGAAACTCAGTGAAACAAACCTTTTTTAATCCCATTTTCTTCATTTATAAGACCTGGTTCAATCCTTTAAAGTCAGGCACACCTTGCCTTCAACAAACATTTATGGAATTGGCTATTATTCATAAAAAGTACATTTCAAACTAAAAATAGAGCTTCCCTTTGATTTACTTTTTTACAGGGCTTGTTGAATGCAATTTTGTACAGTTCAATGGTGGATTCAGTCAAGACCAGCTGGACTGGGTTGACAAAGTTCTTACATATGCTGATGAGAATCAAGAGAGAGTTGTGATTGCAGGTATGGCTGTATTTTTAACAATTAGTACTATTGGGGAACAAATAAAGCATCAATATTTGTAGTTTTTACAGTTCTGACTAAGGGTGTGTTCTCTGCTGGTTTGGGGTGTTCTGCTGCCTGAACTGAATTATGTATGTTTTAGATGTTTCAAGGAAGGAAAGGAGTGGGAAGATCAGGGGATAGACAGGCCAGTGAGATACACTTTGTTGGGATATCAGCAGCAGTTATAGCTGAAGGGGCAGAGAATGCTGAAAAAATCGGGGGTAGGCTAGCTGTGGTATGTACCACACTGGGAGCTGCATAGCAGGGAGAGGAGCTAATGGGTATTAGCCTTGCTTTATCTGCACTACCTGAATTTTTGGCTGCTGAAACAGTGTGGCACAGACCTCAAAATGTAACTGAGTTTTGTTCTGAGTTGAAACAAAACATTTTTCACTTCCATCTGTTCTGACAAATTCTTTTTCTTGAACCTGATATATAATGTACCTAAATGAAGACACGTAATACCAAACCGTGACCTAAGAGAGAATGAACAAATATCCTGTTATTTATTCTTTTGCACATTACATTGTATTTAGGCTTTCCTAAAAAGAAAAGAGTTAGAAAAAGGGCCTAGTTACTTCTATTTTTCCAGTTCTACTTCTTCCAAACATTTGAATGATTAGAAGTTTAAATCAATATTTACTATGTAAATTGTAAAGGTATGACTGTTCCTGTATTTACTTAAATATCAGATTTTCAAAGAACAATTCTGAATATTCCCAGGGCAAGTGTTTCACTCTTGTGATTTCAATACAGCTACACTGAAGTATGCTAGTATACTTCCCATCTTATAAATTGGAATGCAATTTAAGAATCGATGGCTTTTAATTAAGGTTACCCAAGAAGCTAAGGACTGAGCTGAGGATATCCAGTTTCGGTCAAATTCTGTGGAATGTTATACCGTTGTAGATGTCATAGTACTGTGTGGTATTTCATTTGTTTTGGGCACATTTCTTCTTGCGTTGCAGGACACATACCTATCAACCCAGACTGTACAAGCAGTATCTGCCTTGCTTGGAATTATAAAGCTGCCCTTTCTGTCATTTCCTCACATCACTCGGTGGTGTGTTTTCTTGCAGGCCATCTCCATTATGGTGGTTACTGCCTAGATTCTCATGGAGTCCATCACCTTACCCTTGAAGGAATTATAGAAACTCCTCCAGAAAGTAATGCTTTTGGAACTATATATGTCTATAATGACAGACTGGTCCTAAAGGGAAAAGGAAGAGTTCCAGATAGGGAGATGCATTTCAAAGATCATCGATACCCTTCTCCATTTTAAATATAATTGTATTGGCCTGGGTTAGAAATTGATATTTTTCAACTGTTTTTAATTAAAACTCAGTTTTAATATTTAATATTGAACACTGAATTAAGAAAGTTACAAAAGGTGTCATATGAATTTTTAAACAACAAAAAAAATAGTCCTGGTAAATTGAATTTATTTCATACTATATTGTAATAACTATTTGCCAAAAGTTCATTCTTATGTGTTTCCTATTTGGATAATTACACTTTCAACTTTGTCTGACATGAAAATTGAATGGAAGCTCTGTTTGCTGATATGAAGCCTGGGAAAATAATACATTGGATTGACATCTGTAATCTTGGAATAAAATAACATTCTGTTTAAAACACTCCCTACCATTGTGCTTCTCCCTTTTGGTCCCTTTGAAATACCACCACTTTCACTGAAGAATAAATTCCTGGCTGAGAGTTCTAGTGGTAATTCTTCATAGTTTTTCCTCTAGATAGAATTCAAACAATACTGAAGTATGAATATCAGAAATAAATAACCTCCTGCCAAAGGATGAATGGAGAATGAGACAGTGTCTAACTCCTTACACACCCTGTTCAATTAAAAATGAGTGGTAATGTCTTCTACATCCAATTAGATGGAAGGATTTATTAACTAAAACACAACAAGTAGTAACAATGGAAGTTCTTGCTATCATATTTCAGTATTTGGATCACCATATCTGAGCTGCAAAAACCCAGAGAATACTGGATGGCAGCAAACAGAGTTTTTCTATGTCTGTTGCAATCTAGTGGTTGTCCAGATATGTGTAGCCCAGATATGGTTGCCCTCTTCAAAATACTTAAGCTTTAAGTTAAATCAGCTTCTGTGAACAATAATTTACAGAGAAATGAGCTTAGTACTACATCAAGCATTCACTTCTCCAAATTTTAATTTATGACTTATTAAATGGAGTATGTCATTCTTTTATAGATTAAGAATTGTATGTTAATCATCTGAATAGTGCAGATCTATGTAGAGAAGTTATGGATGGTTTATGGATGGAGTTTCAAAGACATCGGATACATCCCTATCAAATTACTAATATATTTATTTACATTCCATAAATATATACAACATACTGTTCTTCTAATGGTGTGGTCTGGCTTCAGTCCTATAACTTCAGCATGAAGCTCAAACTAACTTTAGGCACCTCCCACAAAAGCACTTTCATTTTATTCAGTCCAACCCCTTGCATGTATCAAGAGCACACAATTAATACAATGGAAATCATGAACCAGCTAGGATTAATGCAGTTGAAAACAGGTCATAATCCAGAAAATTCAACTTTCAATTACCTCTGGATTTTCAGTCTTCAGGAGCAGTGTAGATAAACTGGACTTTGTGGGAAGTAAATAACCTTATTTGTGGTTCTTGTTAATTTGGCATCAGTGAAGAATCAAGCTCTGAAGTAATGACACTGCTTTCCATCATTTTAAATAACGGTTTTACAGTGAGATGGCCACGAAGCTCGCATTTCTGTATTCACATAGATGTACAACCACATTACAAAAGGAGAAAGAGAGAGGAAAATTGCAATGACCAAGTGAAATCCACTCAGGGAATTTCTGGAAAGAAAAAGGCAGAGATTTTGCTGAACAATCCAATCCAATTCAATCCAATTAACAGGAACTCAAAAACAGGATTTATTCTTGATTTCATAAAAGTATGATTTCTGGAACTCTGATATAGGAGATACAAGTAGTCCTCACTTAACAACCACAGTTGGGACCAGAATTTAGGACACTAAGTGATGCAGTCGTTAAGCAAATCATCACATGACCGGATCCAATTTTATGACTTTTTTATGGCAGGCGTTAAGTGAATCACTGTGATTGTTAATTGAATCATATGGCCGTTTAGCGAATCACATGGTTCCCCATTGATTTTGCTTGCCTGTGATGGAATGTATCTACGAGAAGGAGAATGATGTGGGAGATCAAGGCTATCAGGAAGGAGGGTTCCAGGAGGGGAAAGGAGACAAGAGGCAGCATTGTCCGCAGGGGGAGCTTGAGAAGAGTAAGAGATTCAGGATAGCCACTCCCTAGAACCTCACAGAGTATATCCACTAGTTGCTGTAGTATAGATTTAGTTTGGCACGATTCTATCTATAAGGTGTAAGCAAATAAAGGAACTGTACTAGACTGGACTGTTTCATTGTTGTTCTTGGGCTGGGCCTGACACTGCCGGAAGCTGGCTGGGAAGGTTGCAAATGGTGATCATGTGATCCTGGGATGCTGTAACCGTTGTAAGTGTGAACTGGTTGCTAAGCAGCCAGATTGTGATCACGTGACTGTGGGGCGTGCTGTGATGGCTGTAACTTCGGGCACCATTTGTCACTTTTTTAGCACTGTTGTAACTGAATAGTAGCTAAACAAAGTCGTTAAACAAACAGTCTTTACCTGTATACAGGTAGTCCTCACTTAGTGACCTCAATTGGGACTGGCAACTCTGTCACTAAGTGCCGCGGTCGCTACGTGGAGAATTGTGACTATCATGGACTTACAGCATCACTTCCCATTTGGTCATTAGGTGACCACGACTTAGAATTTTACTTCTGCGTACTCCGTTAACTCTGCTTATTGCAAGCAGGTTGGGAAGTATGCAAATGGTGATCACGAGACCGTGGGACACTGCAACGGTCGTAAATGTGTGCTGGTTGCAAAGCGCCTGAATGGTGGTCATGTGACTCTAGGATGCTGCGACAGTCATAAATGCAAGGTTTTGGCAGAGTTTATACACCACTGTAACTTAGAAGAAGTGCTAAACGAGGCAGTTGGTAAGCGAGGGCTATCTATGTATTTATTTCAAAATAATAAAGTTTTCAATCCTGCAGCAACATGAGAAGGCAATATCTATACCACATTTCAGTGATACTTCTTTCTCCTGCATTTTAAAGTGTATAGACAGATATATATGAGTTAGCAGAAGACACTAATATATCTGCCAAGGCAAGCACAAGTTTTCCACGTATTTTAAACACTAAACTGGAATTAGTAGGTTAAAAGACTCACTTGGCTGAATTACGACAAAGGCTCATCCAGGCTGTAACAATCATCAGACCAAATAACTCCCTGTTTTTAATCAAAGATGACTATGTAAGTTATACAAAATTGGTTCCATAAAATAAATATATGCAAAGAAACACAGTAGAAAGTCCTTGCTTATAATTACGACAGCATTAATTCTGTTAGTACTGAACAAGTACAAACTTGTTAGTACTGAAAGCACATGCTGGCGGTTTGAGAAATGAAAAAAAATGCTACCTGAGGAAAAACTTATTTGCCATATTTTCATTAGTTGGGAGTATTAACACAACCCTATCAATCCCACAATTTGATTAGGGAATGCAAGATACTTCCATTTAGGCAAAAGATATAAGCATTTTACTTGACTTGGGCACTACACCATAAGATTGGTTGTAGACTGGTTACATTTAGCATCTTCAGGATAAAATATGACACTGTATTTAAACATACAAAACTAGATTAAACAGCAACTACAGAGGAGCCTGAACAACCTACATGTGCACCATTAAAAAAAAAAAAATCAGACTACCTCCTATGCTTTGTATCAATGTTAGTAAGCTCAGATTGCAGGATAAAATTTTCTGGAATTTCTTTCTATTAAGTTTCATGGCACATCAAAATATATCTCAGGAATTTGTTCTAGGTATTTCAAAGCTTTAAATGCTTCTAATTCCTTAGATCTATGGTAGCTTGAGGATCTCACAAGTGTTAAGCAAGAGAACTACAGTGGTACCTCTACTTACGAACTCGCCTCTACTTACGAACTGGATCCGCGGCCATTTTCCCTGCTGCCACGCGGTTGCGGCTTCCTGTGGGCGAGATCGTGGTAGCAAGGAGACGTTTGGTGAGGCTTGTGGTGCGTTTTGTGGTGTTTGGAAGGTTTTTGTGGCGTTTGGAATA